CAATGTTTTGATAATAACTGCCACCCACTCACCAGGCAGACTGAGGTTTAACATGTGTGTGCATCGTGCAACCTGTTTGGAGATCAGTCCTTGATGGAAAAATCATCTAAGATCTTGGAATCCTTCTTAGAATAAAAGCCACACTTATGTCACTACATAACATAAGCAATCCCAGGCTCTGCCAGGAAGTCTGGAGGACAACTCTCTGGCCAGCTGACTGGAAGAGATCCATATTTATTCCAAAGAACGGAGATCTGAAAGAATGTGGAAATTACCGAACAATATCACTGATATCACACACATGCAAAATCCTTCTGAAGATTATTAAAAAATTTCTTGGACAGAACATCAACAGAGAACTACCAGAAATACAAGCTGGGTTTAGAAGAGGTCGTGGCACCAAGGGACATCATAGCCATTGTCAGATGAATCTTGGCTAGAAGCAGAGAGTGCCAGAGGAATGTCTATCTATGTTTCATTGTCTATGCAAAGACATTTGACTATGTAGATCACAACAAATTGTGGCTAACCTTGAGAAAAATGTGAATCCCAGAACACCTGATAGTGCTTATGTGAAACCTGTACCTGAAACAAGAAGTGATTGTCAGAACAGAGCAAGGAAACAATGCATGATTCAAAATTAGGAAAGAGGTGCATCAGTGATGCATCCTGTCTCCATACCTTTTCAATCTATATGGGGAACAGATCATTTTGAGAGGGTGGACTTTATGAGGAGGAATGTGGCATCAGGATTGGTGAAAGACTCATCAACAACCTACGTTTTATAGATGACACAACCTTGCTCGCCCAAACTGAAGAGGATCTGATCCATTTGCTGCAAATAGTCAAGGACTGCAGCTTTCAGTATAGATTGAAACTCAACATCAAGAAGACAAAGATTCTCACCGTAGGGCCAATTGGTAGCGCCACAATAGATGGAGAAGAGATTGAAATTGCTAATAGCTTCAGATTGCTCGTTCCACAATCAGTACTTGTGGCACCAGCAGTCAGGAATTCAAAAGATGAATTGCATTAGGAAAATCTGCTGTTAGAGACTTCTCTGGAGTGCTAAAGAGCAATGATGTCAGTCTGGAGAGTAAGGTGTACCTGATCCTGGCCATGGTCTTCGTAGTTGCTTACTGTGTCAGAGAGCTGGACAATGACTAAGTATGACAGAAAAAGAGTCAATGTCTTTGAGTTGTAGTACTGAAAAAGAGTATTGAACATACCATGGACTGTAAAGAGAAATAGCAGGTTTGACCTGGAAAGAATGAAACCAAGTTGCTCCTTGGAGGCAAAGATTTTGAAGCTCAGTCTCATGTACTTCAGGCATCTTGCTAGGAGAGACCAGTCCTTGGAGAAGGCATCATGTTTGGAAGGATGGAAGGACAGAGCAAAAGAAGACGACCTTGGAGGAGATGGATTGACACAGTAGGTGTAATGTGGGTAGGTGTGTTGGAGGCAGTGAGATTGGCTCAGGATAGGGCAGGGTTCAGAGCTGTTGTGTATAGGGTCTTTATGAATCTCAAACAATTCAATGGTGCATAACAATATTTAACCATACTTCAAAGTTGTAAGACACACCCTTTCCTTAGAAAAGGTGGGGATTTGCATCCAGAGCAAACATCTGCTGTCTTCCAGTGAGAGACAAATATTGTTGTTGTTGTTAGTTGCCATTTAGTAGCCTGCAACTCATAGTGACTCTATGTACAACAACCCTAAACCCTGCTCTATCCTGTGCCAATCTTATTGTCTCTGACACACTTATCCCCATTATCCCAGTCACTGAATCAACCTATCTCATCAAGGGTCTTCTTCACCTGCACTGTTCCTCCACTCTTCCAAGCATGACGTCCCTCTCCAAGGACTGGGCCCACCTTGCAACATGTCCAAAGTATGTCAGACACAGCTTCAAAACCCTTTCAGCAGCCTGCCTTCACCCTTTCCAGGAGTATTTGCTATTCTTAGCTCTGTACTGGCCTTTAGAAACCACATGTAGATAAATCAACTGTTCTTATAGGGTCTCAAACACCACACTTCATGTAGCAATTGGGAGTATTGTGGGTAACCTCCTCCTGTAAAAATTTAAAGCCTAGGAAAACTAGGAGATGGATAATCTCCTCCCATAAAGATTTAAAGCAAAGAAAATTGCTATGTGTCAGAATTTACCTGTTGGCAATGTGTTTAGTTTGGGATTTATCAAAATGTAGTAGCAGTAGTAGTTGTTGTTAGGTGTTGCGGAGGTAAGTACAACTTATACCAACTCTATGAACAACAGATCTGAACCCTGTCCTATCCTGTGATATCCTCATACTTTCTGACACTCAAGCCCATTGCTGCAGTCACTGTATCAGTCCCCCTGGTTGAGGGTTTTCCTTTCTTTCACCGTCCCTCCACCTTCCCAAGCAAGTTGTCTTTCTCCAAACAAAGATTCTCACCACTGGGCCAATTAGCAGCACGATGATGGATGGGATGGATGGAGAAGAGATTGAAGTTGTTAAAGGTTACAGCTTGCTCAGCTCTACAATCAATACTCTTGGCACAAGCAGTCAGAAAATCAAAAGAGGAATCGCATTAGGTAAATCTACTGTCAAGGACCTGTCCAGAGTTCTGAGAAACAACGATGTCAGTCTAGAGACTAAGGTGAGCCTGATCCAGGCCATGGTCTTCATAATTACTTGCTATGCATCAGAGAGCGGGACAGTGACTAAGGATGACAGAAGAATTGATGCCTTTGAGCTGTGGTACTGGAGAAGAGCCTTGAACATACCATGGACCACCAAGAAAACAAATAGGTCTGTTTTGGAGAAGATGAAACCAAATCTCTCCCTGGAGACTAGGATTTTGAAGCTCCGTCTCACATACTTCGGGCATGTGGTCAAGAAAGACTGCTCCGTGGACAAGGACATCATGCTCAGAAGGGAAGAGGGACAGCACAGGAAAAGAAGACCCCAGATAAGATGGATTGATACAATATCTAGGGCAGTGGGGGTTAGTGTATCAGAGTCAGTGAAACTGGTTCAGGACAGGGCAGGCTTCAGAGTTGTTGTACATGCTATGAGTTGCAGGGGATTCAGCAAATAATAAAAACAGTTATACATGTTATGTATTTTTTATATTTAACTTACATATATATATTTACTACAATAAAACATTTGGCAAGCCAACTTTATTTACATGCACAATTCAGTGATACTGATTGTGGTCATCATGTGTAACGAACACCATGATCCCTCTCTAAATCATTAAATAACCATTTTGTAAAACACACACACACACACACACACACACACACACAGAAACTTCACACAAACTCATTGCCACCAAGTCAGAGCCAACTCATAACTGACCCTTCATCAGCTTTTCCGTGTCTGTAAATCAAGAAGAGATTGGCTGTCTTAGGCGGAGCGGATGGTGGATTTGGACTGCTAGAGAAGCATTATCTTTAGGTTAGTGCAACTCCCCATGGATTAGGCCACTGGAGCTTTTGTTTTTTCATCACTATGGTGCATGCTCTAAACTGACTTCCCTTTTCTTCCTTTTCCCCCTCCTGAGTCTCCCATTTTGGTTTCTATTCATTTATCTGTTTCATGTAAATGAGATTGTATAATATTTGTCCTTTTGTAGTTGCCTTATCTCACTCAGTATATGTTTCCAAGGGAGCTCTGGTTGCCAAGTGGATAAGAAGATGCATTGTAAACCCAAAGGCAGACGGTTTGACTCCTCCAGTTATCCTGTGGGAGAAAGGCCATTCTCTCCAATGCTATTTACAGACTCTGAAAACCCCCTGGAAGGTCAGCTATGAGTCATTTCTAACTCATAACAACAACAACAAATATGTTTTCAAAGTTCATCCATGTTATAATACATAATAAGACTTCATTTCTCTTTTTGTCTCATAAATGTCTATGCAGCATATTTTGCTTATCCAGTCATCTACCAACAGACACGTTACTTTCACCTTTTGGTCATTGGGAGCAGAGCTATGGTGAAAATTAGTGAGTCCTAAGAAACTTGAGGGTCAAGGACCACAGCCTTCAATATGGACTGAGGCTCAATGTCAAGAAGACAAAAATTCTCACCACTGGACCAATCGGTAGCATCAGGATGGATGGCGAAGAGATTGAGATTGTTCACAGCTTCAGTTTGCTTGGCTCCAAGGTCCATACTCTTGGCACCAGTAGCCAGGAAATCAAAAAACGTATTGTGATGGGAAAGTCTGCAGTTAGGGATCTCTCCAAAATACTCAAGAGCAACGGTGTCTCTCTGGAGACTAAGGTCTGCCTGATACAGGCCATGGTTTTTGCAATCACTTGTTATGCATCAGAGAGTTGGACAATGACTAGGGAGGACAGAAGGAGAATTGATGCCTTTGAGCTGTGGTGCTGGAGAAGAGTGTTGAATGTACCATGGACTGCCAAGAAAACAAACAGATTCATCGTAGAGAGGATTAAACCAGGCTGCTCCTTGGAGGCAAGGATTCTGGGGCTTCGTCTGACATACTTTGAACATGTTGTAAGGAGAGACAGGTCTTTAGAGAGGGACATCATGCTGGGTAGGGTAGAGGGACAGCGCAGGAGGGGAAGACCCTCTATGAGGTGGATTGATTCAGTGACTGGGGTACTCGGGATGGGTGTGTCAGAGGCAATGAGATTGGCACAGGATAGAGCACGGTTTAGGGCTGTTGTACATGGGGTCGCTATGAGTCGCAAATGACTCGACAGCACATAACAACAACAACAACAAGAACCTTGATTATGTAAGAACACAATCTAGTCAGAATTCTCTACTGTTTGAGAGTTCTCACCATGAATCAACACTGGGTCAGGAGAAATCGTTCTAAAGTGGCAACAATCAAAGAGCAATTCTAATAATGCTTAAGTGTGCTACGCTGGATGGAAAACAAATCAATGGAGCTTATGAAGGTGTACTCACAGTAGAAATTCAAGCTTAATCATTGTGATTTTTAACTGTTCCAACCTTTCTCTTCATTCTCCCAGGCCACAATCCTGAGAAGAAGTGTTTTGGTGGTGCGCCACGGGGAGAGAGTGGATCAGATCTTTGGGAAGCAGTGGCTACAGCAGTGCTCCACTCCAGATGGTAGGTACAATCCAGCCAGATGCCAAGCACAGGACAAGGTGTTGCCAAAGAAAGTCCCCTTTTCTTTACTTTAAAAAAATTAATTTTAATTGAAATTTTAACAAAAGTTTATAGAGAGCTTGGATTTCCATCCATTCATTGTTTCACATTTCCTCCCTATACACAGCCCCAGTTCACTTTTCTCTTTGAAAAAAAATTTTTTTCACTGTTGCACAATCCTCCACTCCCCATCTGCTTTGCTATGCAGTTCTAATTCTAGACAGTTGTCATGAAAATAATACCTAATAATATATGCCTTTTAAACAGTTCTTTGTCTCATCTGTTTCAATGCAGTGTACATTTTTTTTATCCCTTCTTTTCTTAATTTCTCCTCAATCTCCATGTCAATCCTGTTTTATAGTAGTGGCATTATATAATGTTTGTCATTTTGTGACTGAAATATTTCACTCAGCATAATATTCTCCAGGGTCACCCATTTTGCGTAATATTTTACAAGTTCCTTGTTTTTTCAGTGCTGCATAGTATTCCATTGTGTGAGTATACCACAGCTTCTCTATCCATTCATTTGTTGATTGGCACTTGAATTGTTTTCATCTCTTTGCTATTGCTAACTATGCAGAAATAAACATAAGTGTCCATATATCTGTTTGGGTGGAAGTTCTGATTTCTTTAGGATCTATTCCCAGTAGTGGAATTGCTGGGTCAAATGGTATTTCTATTTGCAACTTTTTGAGAAAGTGCCATACTGCCTTCCATAGTGGTTGCACCATTTTCCATTCCCACCAACAGTGAATAAAGTCTCCTTTTCTTTTTTTTTTTAAATTATTATTAAATTTTATTAGTTTTAATGAACATTTACAGAGATTTTGGGTTCTCATTCATTCATTGTTGCACTGAAGTCCCCTTTTCTGGCTAATGTTTTAGCATTTAATAAATTCTATTAAATCTCATGACTCAAATCTTTCTGCCAATGGAAATTCCATGGCTGTAGATTTCAGAACATTTTTGCATGAAACCTTTAAAAGAAGGCACACAGAGCAATCAACTGCCCTTCTTTCAAATAAAGGTTGCTCCTTTTCTTGTAGGAGCCCTGGAGGTATAGTCATTAGTATAGCATGACGTTGGAAAATTCTACTTGACTCCTAGAACCTGTTGCAGGTTACTTGGTAGAAAGCAAAGACAACACATTGATTGCGGAAGGGCTTGGTGTGACATAGTATATTCTAAAACAATTGTAATAATGAACATACACCGACCACTTATTGACCACTTATTCTGTGGTCATTCTCTACAACCAAATTACCTTAGAGGTGAGGATTATGAGACTTCATCTTACTTGCTGTGGCCACATCCTCAGGAAGGACTAATTTCTAGACAAGGACATCATGATTAATAACATAGAGGGCCAGTGTTGTGGGCAGTGCTCAAGGAGATGGGCTGACACAGCAGCTACAGCAATGCTCCCAGACACAGCAATGGTCTCAAGATGACCCAGGACCAGGCAGTGTTTCATTGCCAACTAAGAAGAACGCCACTCTGTGCCAGGCTGAGCTCTTGATCTTATCTCACTGATTAATCACGACACCTCTATCAGTCTCCCCTCTCTGCTGATAAGAGACATTAAGTCAGTCACTTACCTCCAGTCACACAAGGAGGATTTGCTGGGATTTGTTCCCACCTGTCAGAATTGAGAATTCAAGGTCAAAGCTAACATAAACCCTGACAATAAATTTTTCTGGGTTTTAGTCCATTCTTCAAGCAATTGACTAAATAATGAGTAACACAAGAGAACATCTGACCATATGTGTTCTCTGTCTCTAAGCAACATGATACACTTAAAGTTATAAGAAAGAATCTATTTTCATCTAATTCATTGATACTGATTTGAGATTCTTATCAGGTGAAATCAGTAAAGGAAGATCGCTTGTGATGGAGGTTCAGTTCTCTATCAAGAAAATGATATGAACAAATCTTCATGATAATTTATGGGAGTTTAGTTTTCTATATTTGAGTAAATGCTATATTCAGAGCAAAGATTATTTTCTTCCTAATTTGAATTTACATGAAAAATACCTTTTAAAAGTGCAGGTTACCTTAATTTAAATCATATCCATGCTATGATATGAGTCTTGATCTTAGGAATTTTGTGAACCAAATTTGTACTAATTTGAAAAAAGTGAACATTCAGTGCTTATTTATGCTTTAGGAAAATACTACAGACCAGATCTGAACTTCCCTTGCAGTCTGCCGAGACGGAGGAATGGTATCAAAGACTTTGAAAATGATCCCCCTTTATCATCTTGTGGAATTTTCCAGTCCAGACTTGCAGGTATGTTTGAGGATCCTTCTAGGGGAAACAGTAACAGTAGTAATGACAATGACTATGGCTCATGTGTGTTGAGCTCTTTCAGTGTTCATTTTGTGGTTCTATGAACAAAACTGTGTCCTCAAAAATGTGTTGTAAGTCTTAACCTCCACACCTGTAGTTAAAATTCCCATTCGTGTTAAAATGTCAAAGATACTGTAGGGTATATCTTGAGTCATTCTGTATTGAAATATAAAAAGAGATTAAACAAGAAAGCTAGGAAACAAAGATGGTGTAAGATAGCTGCCAAGATACAAGGCGGTTTCTAAGGAACCAGCCAGCAGAAGCTGAGGGTAAAATGATTGCCAGCAGAGAGAGAAAGCCTGCCCTCCCCTGGAGCCATAAGAAGATTATGCTAAAAAAAACACCCATCTGCAGTGTTTTGGTTATGTTGTTTTTGTTATGTGCTTATTGTTAAGTGTTGTGGTTGTTATGAGTGAATCATAGCGACCCTAAATACAATAGGCCTGACCCCTGCACTATCTGTGCCAATCTTACTGTCTCTGACACACCTACCCTCATTACCCTAGTCACTGAATCAATCCATCTCATTGAGGGTCTTCCTTTATTACTCTGCCCCTCCACCCTTCCAAACATGATGTCCCTCTTCCAGGACTGGTCCCTCTTAGCAGCATCCAAGTCAGTGTCTGTTTGTTGAAACGTGTAAATTGATACGCCGTGAATTGCTGGGGCCTTTGTTTTTGCCAGTTCTTTCAGAGTAGCTTGAACTTCTTTCATCACCACAGGCTCTTGCTGATACGTTGTTTCATGAAATTCTTCTGTGTCCGCCACTTCCTTTTGGTATAGGCACGCTGTATACTTCTTCCATCTTCTTTTAATGCTTCCTGGATCATTTAATATTCTGCCCAAAGCATCATTAAGTATTGCAACCAGAGGCTTGAATTTGTCTTCACTTCCTTCAGTTTAAGAAATGCTGACTTTTGTCCTTTTAATTTTCTGACTCCAGCTCTTTGCACATTTAATTATAATACTTTGTCTTCTCATGCTGCCTTAATTTCTTTATTTCTTCCCTTTGCTTTGGCTTCTCAGAGCTCTAAGGCAATATTCAGAGTCTCTTCTGACATCTATCTTGGTCTTTGGTCTTTTCTTCCTCCTCTGCCTTTGTAATGACCTTTAGCATTTTTTTTTAACCTTTGCATTCTTCATGGATGATATTCTTGATATCTTCCCACAGCTCATCTGATCTTCACTCATTGGTGTTCAGGGCCTCAAACCTGTTCCTGAGATGGTTTTGAAATTTGAGTTGGGTAGACTTAAGGTCAAATTTTGGTTCTTTTGATTTAATTTTCCTTAATCAGCTTGAACCTGCAGGTGAGTAGTTGTGATCTGTTCCACAATCAGCACCTGGCCTAGTTTTCACAGCTGACACTGAGCTTCTCCAGCGATTCTTTGCACAGATGTAATCAATTTTATTCTTAATCATACCATCAGGTGAAATCTATCTGTATAGCCTGTATTAGCATTATTTCTACTTTGCTTCTGAGGGAGCATGGGCACAGAGAAGATAAGTCATCCAAGTTTGCACAACTAGCAAGAGAAAGTGCAAAGATCTGAACCACAAATGGGTAGTTGGGTAAATTGGAAAGATCTGACCCTCCACGGGGTTTTCAGGTGCTGTAAATTTCATATGAGGAAATTGCCTGTGGAGAAGCTGAAAGGCTTGAACCACTTGTCTTTGGGTTGGCAGTCAAACTCCTTACCTACTAGGCCACCAGATCGCCTACTAAATCATACCAAATAACATTCACCATCGCAAGAACATGGAAACAGCCCAAATGTCCAAACACAAATGAGTGGATTGAGAAACTGTGAAACATTCACACAATGAATACTATGCAACATGCAGGAGCAATGATTTTGAAAAATACTACGTAATTTGGAAGAGGCTGGAAAGCATTATGCTGAGTGAACTAATATAGTTTTCATAAGGACAAATATTGCATAAGACCATTATTGTAAAAATAGAAGGATAACTATTATAACACGTATGGGAACTCAAGGGAAGTTGAGTGGGGAGAACAGAGGGGCGTGGATAGGAAGGGGCAAAACCACAGGGTTGGACAGTTTGGTAGGTGGAGAGAGAGGGGCAAAAACAGGGGTAGCATCCAGGCAAAAAAGACAGGGTAATGAAGGGCAATATCTAATGGTGATGGATTTTATGAAACATGATGCATGAGAATGATTGTAGGAAACAGTGTGAAACACAATGTACACTGAATTTTGTAGGCAAACCAATACAAGGAGAACCAACCTAAAATAGCACATGTAATAAGATATGAGAAATACACAGCTGATATAAAATAGATATAATGTATGTACAGTGTGTTTCCCAGGGAAGGAGATTAACAACACTATTCATTACTCAAGAACTCTCTGCCTTTTCACTAGCTCTGTAACACAAACACCAAAGACTAGTTTCACTTGTGTTTTTGGCAAAAGAAGAAACCTTCTTTTAATTCCTTTTGGTTAGCAAAAGAAGTACTAATGTAGGCCTTCTGTAAAATCAAAGTGGAGTAAAGCACATCTTTCAAGAGTGGGAGATATCAAATTTGGGAGTGTTTGTAAATGCATGTGTGAATGAGCAATTGTGAGCCTCGGCCTCCAATACAGTTTCACTGGCTTGTGATGCCAAGTGGTTTTTGCTTTGCAGAGATTCTTTCCACCCACTAGCCCCAAATAAGGCAGATCATCTCCTTTAACATTGTAAGAGGAAATGTGATTTACATGCTTGTCCTTCCGTTAGCTCAAGGTAGTGTGAGTTTTCCACTGCTGCACAGGAAATGATCACGACGTTACAGCACTATTAGCTCAGAGTTCAGTAGGTCGCAAGGCCAGGTGTAGCAGGGCTGGGTCCTCTGCTTGGAGTTTCACAGGGGTGAAATCATGGTATCTGCCAGGCTGAGCTCTCACCTGTAGGATCCTGAAGCAGTTCCAAACTTACTCGTGTTGTTGACCAAATTGGATTCCTTGTGCTTGTGGGACTGACAGCCTACAGGTTCACCCCAGGGAACTCTCATTTCCTTGAAGTCTCCTCATGTAATTCCTCCCCTTATGATCTCCCATATTTTCAAAGCTAGCATTATCGAATTTCTTCTGCATCCAGTTTCTCTCACTTATAATAGAGGGCTTTCTAGAGCAGAATTTCTCTAAAGTCTTTTCCTCCAAACAAGGTCTTTATTTTTCATGGGCTTATCTGAATAGGTCAGGCCACCCACAATCATCTCCCCTTCACCATATAACATAGTTGCAGACATGGCATCACATTCACAATTTCTGTCTGTGCTCAAAAGGACAAATGATACAAGGTGTGAACAGTAGAAGGTAGCAACCTCGGAGCCACCTTACAGTCCTGTCTACCACAGATAGCAGACCATGAGCCGTCTGTGGAGGCTAGAATTGTGAAAGGGACATTTTCCATCTTCTCTTTTTCAGGGGAGGCACTACTGGATAGTGGCATCAGAATCACCTCCGTCTTTGTCTCTCCATCCCTCCGCTGCATGCAGACAGCCAAGCACATCCTAGAAGGTTGGTGAGAAGTCCAGCACATTTCCCATGTTGCAGTGACCTCGTGGTTTTTCACTAGGGAGGGAGAGAAATGAACAGAGTTGAAAATCTGGTGACTAAAGGTGAATGACCACAGAAATATGAGGAGGCAGTGATGCACCAACCTTCCAGAAACTGCTATCTTGGTTTCATTAAAGTTTCTTGAATGTCAGAACTGACATTCGTATCAGATGCCTGCAATTATGGTCTTTACTATTAGTTTGCTCTGCTAGGTTCTCAGTTGTTTTCTTTTTTAATGCCTGGAAAGAGGTGCTCAAAACCACAAAGAGCTGAGAATAAATACAGTCACTTCTAGGTCCAAAATGCAAAATTTCTCCAGGACAAGAAAAGCTACTAGTGGGAGCTGTCCATCTGTCCATCACCAAAGCTGACACATGTTAGGAAACAGACACTTGTGAAGATTCCAACCTTCAGAAAGAAGCTTCTCTGAGAGGAAGGGTCATGATCTAGTTCACAGTGTGGAATAGGACTTGGTTGGAGGCTTGACTATGCCTCCTCTGTGATAGGAAAGAAGGCAGCCATGCATGGCACAGATGCCGGTCAAGGGGCAAAAGTATATCACAGTTTCCTCAGAGACATAAAAGGACTAGTCACCAAGAGAAACTGAAAAAGTGGAAGGTGCTTCTGAAAGCTTGAATTCTGATGTAGAAATGAAAAAGTTTTTCCGGAAGTGTCAAGACATGGACTGGAAAATTGAGTCAGAGTCCATTTGAAGTGAGGTGACATGAGTTTAAATTTGGATTCAATAGCTGGGTATTCATAATCTTGCCTTCAGTAGAAAATTGTTTTTTGTGTACCATTAAGTCAGAACCAACTCTGACCCACCAGCAGATTGTCACAGGCTCATTGCCTCATGAAAGAAATCACACAGGAAAACAATGACCTTCTTTCTCCCACAGAGCTACTGGTGGATTTGAACCGTGTGCCTTCAAGTTGGCAGCATAACTCCTTACCACTAGCTACCATGTTACTGTTGTTGTTAAGTGCTGTGGAGTTGAGCGTAAATCATAGTGACTCTACAAATGATAGCTCTGAACTCTGTCCTGTCCTGCACCGTCCTCAGCCTCAACACATTTGAGTCCATTGCTGCAGACACTGTATCAGTTCATCTCTTTGAGGGTTTCCTTCTCCTTCACTAACACTCTACCTTTCCAGGCATAATGCCCATCTTAGGAAACTGTTAATCCATAGCACCAGAGCCATGGTGGCCTAGTCTATGGAGAATGCTAACCCAAAGGCAATTTGAATCTCCAGCAGCTCTGATGGAGAAAAGGGACAGTCCCCTCCCAGGCAATTTGCAGCCTTTGAAAACTTGACAGAGGGTCAGCTATGAGTCAGTTTAAACTAAATTACAATTTGTTTTTTGGTTCTAAAGCCATGAGATAACAATAGAAATATGCAAAATATCTTTAAATAGACCGCATACTTGTGAAAGCGAAGCTATAGGTAATCAAATATTTAATATGTTTCTACAGTTTTGTCAGAATGAGAAGCATAAAGAAGTTAGTTAATTGGTCCTCCTTTTGTAAGACAAATTGGTAAATGAGGAGAATGAACAGTAAATGAGGAGAGTCCATACAGTAAAGGATCAATTGCCTCATGAAAGAACAAAAATTTGTCACTAGTGCTAAAAAGAAAGAAAAAGCTATTTCTTAAAACAACAGTATTGATATTGCCAAGAACCAAACCCAGAGTCTTAGCACAAGTTGACTTACAACACCAATTAAATTCCTAATCTTACATGGTATCCTAAATTAAAGTAAGAATATTCTAAATAGTGAAAAAAAAATAAAGAGTATTGACAAGGAAGAAGTGGATTTTTAAAACTTGAGATGAGGGCATATGGGCAGATAACCAGGAATCTGGGGGAAATGAGCTGATAAATTCCAGTTGATCACCAGAGCAAACAGAACCAGCTCTCTTACTACAGTCTGAAGAGATTTCTTCATGGTTTGTCTTCTAAGCCACCCTCCCCAGTAAACACATTATCCCTTCCACCCTATCTGGACTAAGGTGCATCTTATTCTGTCTATGATCTTTTCAATCACTTGCTATACTACCGAGAGCTGGACAGTAAAAAAAGATTACAGAAGAAGAATTGATGCCTTTTAACGGTGATATTGGAGAAGAGTATTAGATATCCTGTGGATTGCCAAATAAGCAAACAGAAATGTCTTGGAGAAGGTGCAAAGTGCTCCTTGGAGGCAAAGATGATTAAACTTCATCTTACATCCTTTGGGCATGTTGCAAGGAGAGACTGTTCATTGGAGAGGGACATCATGCTTGGAAAGTTGGAGGGATAGTGAAAGAGAAGACCCTCAACCAGGTGGATTGACACAGTGACTACAATGGGCTTAAATGTGTCAGAGACTATGAGGATGGCACAGGATAGGACAAGATTCTGCTATGTTATTCATAGGGTTGCTATGAGTCATACTCAACTTGATGACACCTAATAAGAGCATCACATATGATGGGATTAATTAATTGAGTCAAAAGAATCTTAGTCTGAAATATTGCTGCAAGTGGTGCCTGAGGCATTACCTGGAACATCTCCTGAGGTACATGCCCCATAAGGCATTACTACATGTTCTCGGAACCCACTTCCACCACCCATTTTTGCTTTTGGATCTGTAAATAGACTTAACTCCCAATGAGTCACTATAGATAGAATATATAGTGACCTAGGAGGAGATATCCTACAAAGAACTACTTGTTCTTTCTAATACATACAACCAGAAATCAGGGAAATATGTATGTGACTGGTGACTGGACTTGTGGGATAATAGCTCAAGGAGCATAAGGTTGAATCCATTTCAGTGTATTGATATGGGCCTATGAATCACAGATTCTTCATTCAATGACTAAAAAAAAAATTGAAAAAACAAAGATCTGATAGGTAGCATGTGTTACTGTGTACTGTCAAGTCAGAACTGACACATAGCTGACCCGCCAACTGGTTTTCAGAGGCAGGAAATTGCACAGAAGGAGAGTGACCATCTTTCTCCTCACAGCATCTGGTGGATTTGAACAACCACCTCTTTACCACTAAGCCACAGAGCTCCCTGAATAACAGATACCATGGCTCTGCTTAATCACTGTGGGGGTGAGGAGAAATCACATTTTTTATAGGATATATTTAGATACCAAGTTAAGATTTTGCACTCTAGCAGAGTGATCTAGAACCAAAATGAGCCTTGCTGATTATAAACATCTATATTCTATTTAATCTAGAGCTCAAACTAGAGAAAAAAATGAAAATAAGAGTGGAACCAGGAATCTTTGAATGGACAAAGTGGGAGGTTGGCAAAACCGTCCCCACTCTCATGACCCTGGAAGAGCTGAAAGAAGCAAATTTCAATGTGGATACCAATTACAGGTACGTCGTTCACAAGGTCTCTACCCCCCCCCCCCAATTCTCGAGCTCTCTGCATGCTTGGTATTGGGCTTGAGCCCTTTGCCAGAATCTGAAAACACAATAAAGCTTATCTATTGACTGGGAACTGCTGCTGAGGTGAGGTCATCTTGCAAGAGTGCCCCCTTTCCAGCTGCCAGAGCCACACAATCCTAATCCTCATCCACTGTGCCCACGTGGCACCAGTGTGACATTGCTTCTCCCACCTCCTTTTCAGGCCTGCATTTCCTCTCTCCTGCCTGATACCAGCTGAGAGCTATGATGAGTACGTCAACAGGTGTTCAGTGAGTGTGGAGCGGATCGTCAGCACCTGTTCACAGGACTGTAAGTGCTTCCGCTGTTTCCAGTATGAACATCCCCATCACCCTCTCTCTGGTGACCTAGTGGTAAGAAGCTTTGCTGCAGTCCCAAAGGCACACAGTTCAAATTCACCATCTGCTCCACAGGAGAAGGATGGACAACCTCCTTTCATGTAATTTACTGCCTCTGAAAACCGCTGGAGTGTCAACCATGGGTCAGTTCAAACTCGATGGCAAACAACATCACCCATTCTGAGATACAGGTCTTACCTTTAGGAGAGAATCTGGCTGGTTTTCTTTCTCCTTTTATTGTGGTTTACTGGCTTTCTGAATCTGACAATGTCCCTACTTTTTACCTCTCCTCCCCTCAATTCCAAACCAATAGGGTATTATGTTGAAGACTGTGCAGCAATAAAATACTATTACGTGTTGCATCACCCCTGAAATGTGATTTGGGCTCCTAACCCCTGTACCTGGGGATGCAATCCTATTTGCTAATAGAATTTTCTCTGTTATGTTAATGAGGCCAGGCCACTATAAAGTATATCCTAAACCTGTTCACTGTTAAGTTCTAGAAAGAGCAGCTTAGACCACAAGCAAGGACAAGTAGTGACAGACAGATGGCATGTGCAGATTGCTAAAGAAGTGACAAGGAGGGAGAAGACAAAAGCTCTTCCTTTAGGGGAAACAGAGAGAGAGCTTGACCCTGGAATCCGTGTCCTGAATTCAGGAAGCTTCTAGCCTTCTGAACCATAAGAAAAGAAACCTTTGCTCTTTAAAGTTGGTCACATAGTATTTATGTAACAGACGCACCAGGCATTGAAATAGATACGTGGTCTGCTACCACTCAAGGCCCTGGATCTCTGGATCAGGAGCTGAGCGCCAATGAACCCCAAAATAATGGGGCAGCAGCAGCAGCAGCAGCAGCCCTGTGTGGAGGTAAGGTTTGTCAACCGCCTAGAAGTAAACACAGGGGAACAAGAACACCTAGCCTGGGACCATGACCAAGGCGCATCTGAACAAAGCATCTCTACATGCAGAACTTTGCAGCTATTTGGGGAAAATTAAATATGGAATTTAACTATGGAAATAAGACATTTTTAAAAATAATTTTAAGTGTGGTTATAGCACAGTGGTGGTTCTTAGCTGCCTGTGAGTGAATCTGTCACTCATGGTGCCACCGTGAACAGCAGAATGAAATCCTGCCAAGTCCCACATCATCACAATGATCAGCTGGAGAGCAGATCATCATGACCAATTAGATTTTCATTAGCTGATTCTCAGAAGTGAGTCATCAGTTCTTTCTCCTTAGTCTGTCTTTGTCTGGAAGTTCTGCTGACTTCTGTTCTGTTTGACAGCAACGTGAAAGCCTCCACTAATAGGCATTGTGGGAACTGAATTCAAGTCTCACGCATGGACAGTGAAAATTCTACCTTTGAACATACTTCAGTTTGAGAAGTAAGGTTTGCCTGTTTCAGAACATGGTCTTTTCAACCATGTGCTATGCTGCTGAGAGCTGGACACAAATAAGAATGAAAGAAGAATTGATGTTTTTAACTGTGATGTTGGAGAAGAGTGCTGAAGAGCCATGGCCTACCAAAAGAACAAACATGTCTAGGAGAAGGTGCAGCCAGAGTGCTCCTTAGAGGCAAAGGTGATACAGCTTTGTCTCACATACTTTGGACATGTTGCTGGGAGGAACCTTCATTGCAGAAGAACATTATGCTTCATTGTAGAGGGACATCATGCTTGGAAAGGTGGAGGGAAGGCAAAGCAGAGGACAACTCTCTCTATCAGGTGGACTCACACAGTCACTGCAGCAACGGGCTCAAATGTGTCAGAGATTGTGAGGATGGCACAGGATAGGACAGGGCTCAGATCTGTGGTTCATAGGGTCACTATGAGTCATAATCAACTCAACAGCACCTAACAACAACAACTACATGGAATGGTAGTTATATAAAGTCATAAAAAACTGATTAAAGAGATTTTCATTATCTGGAAATGTAAACTGAAATATTTAGAGAAAAGATATGATGTTTGAGATATACTGTAAACTTAGCTTTGATAGCCTAATGAGTAAGGAGTTGTGCTGCCAACCCAAAGGTATGCTGTTCGAATCCCCGAGCTGTTCCATGGAAGAAGTATGGACAATTTCCCCACATGGGATTTACTGCTTTGGAAAACCCACTAGAAGTCTAGATACAATTTGGTTCTGGCCCACCAGTACATAACAATAATAACAAGTGCAGCCAGAGGATTCCTTAGAAGCAAGAAAGATGAGATGTTCTTTCACATACTTTGAGCATGTTAATAGGAGGGCCAGTCCTTGGAAAAAGACATCATACTTGGAAAAGCAGAATGTCAGTGAAAGAGAGGCAGCCTCTCGAGGAGATGAGTGGACACAGTGATAAGACAATGGGCTTGGGAATGGCAGAGTCTGAGGATGGCAAAGGATGGGCAGGGGTTTGTTCTGTTGTACTTAGAGATGCCATGAGTGAGAGTCAACAGTATGGCATCTAACAGTAACAACTGCAGTACAAAGAAAGAGGCGAGTAGAGGACAAAGGATACAATATGGGCAAAGTGCAGATTGTCAGAGCTCTTGTACAACCAAGTCCCAAGCAGTTAACAACAATGTATAGACATAGATAGATAGATGTATGGATATGGGTGATAAAAAGATACAGACATAAATACAGATGGAAGTTGTCAAGGTAAGTCCGCCTGCCGTGAAGCATTCTGGCAGCAGATCACTTTCTCTGACTCACCGGGCCTGGTCCCCTCTCTCCCTAGCCTTGCTTTGGCCTGACTAGAACAGCCACTGGGTGTCTCCCCTCTCTCCAATCACTGGTGCCTCAGTCCACCTGGGGGCCTCAGGCAGCACCTACACTGGCACCTTCCTCAAGACCTGAACAACAGATCTATACAAGACTGGGGGGGGGGTCAGAGTGGGAGCAGCAGGGTTATTCCAATACCAGCCACACCTATATACCCACCTTTTGCCCACTGTCCCCCTCCCTTGCGATACTGTGGAGTTCCACCCCAATAGCTTTGGGAACCTGATCTGATAAAAGGAGCACACTGGGTCTGCTCTCACCTGTAGATGCCCTTTCTCCACAGTGGGTGTCATCCTCATAGTGAGCCACGGCTCGGCGCTGGACACCTGCACCCGGCCCCTGCTCGGGCTGCCACCACGAGAGAGCGCAGACTTTGCCCAGCTGGTGAGGAAGGTATATGTCTCATCTTTTCTTTTTGGCTCCCAAAGTCAAAGCCCCTGTAGGCACAGGGGGTCACCACACTTCCCTCTCAGAGAAAACAATGTCCAGGGACCAAGGGCAACAGACCCAGAGCCTGCGTCCCAGTGATGTGTGCAGGATGATGGTGACAGGCTTGATAGGGGGATTAGTCATCTGTGTCCTTATTACGGCAGCTTTGGCTATTTCCTGCCAGTATGACATAAAGGACAAGACACAAGATTTTTGTAAGATTCGCTCATGCAACACTTCCTTGCTTAAAAACAACAGAAAAAAAAAAGAGCATACACACACACACACGTACGTTGTAGCGTGAACTCTGACTCATGTGATGTCATGTGTGTAGGGCTGTATGCTCCCCAGAAGAGTAAACAGGCAACTTTCGGAAGTCAATTCCCACGAGATGGGTTGACACAGTGGCTGCAGCAGTGGGCTAGTGTGTGGTGGAGATAGTGGGGATGTGCAGAGTTGCGCAGAGTTTTCATGTGTTGTTCATAGAATTGCTGTAAGTCAGAGTCAACTCGATGGCCCCTTTCTGGGGAGCCGCTGATTGGACTGTTAGCAGCTGGGTGCTTTAAAACGTCTACACCCGTGGACTCCAATTACTTGCTACTTCAATAGTGAGCCAATGTTCCAATAGAAAGTGAGTAGTTTGGATAAGAAAATAAAAAACAACGGTTGGAGCAGCTTTCTCCCAGGGTCAGCGGATGGGTGGAGAGGAGCCCCAGCCCTGCTGCTTCCAGTCTCTCAGCCGCAGAGTGAACATGAGCCTGCTGGGTCTGCTGGATGGCCAGGGGCTTGGCCGGGCTGTATAAATACTTAACTACAAAAGAGCAGACGGCAAACGTGTCGGGCAGGACAGAGGACACTTTGGAAGATCTGGGTGAATGCCCCCCAGCAAAGCAGAGGCTGCCTTTTCTCCAGTTAATGAGGTGAACCGTAGCAAGCATACTCTGGAACTCAGACTGATTCCCCTTCCCAGAAAAGATGTTCAGGCTTGGACTTTTCAACTGGTCTTTTTTTGCCAAATTAGCCAGTTAGATGGTGAATGACCATGTTTTTGCTGATGCAGCATATAAACTCTTATCTGTGTTAGGAAGTGGATCCCTGATCTGCTCCCTTAAAACAAAATTGTAGTGTCGTAAGACCATAGCCAGCTAGAGCTTTTTTATTACAAGGTGTGGATTGAAAGAGGCCACACATCCCAGAAGGGTTTGGGGATGGCAGAGAAGTCGAAAGTCCTGGACCCTCTGTTTCCAGGGAGGAGCTGGAGTCCCAGGTCCAGCCCCACCAGTATCAGCCCCAGGCCCAAGCGGACCACTGGTGCTCTGCATTTGTTCCATGTCTAGGAGAGAGCACACTCCCCACCACAGGGGGCAGTGAGACTTCACAGAGCTCTAGGAAACACATGGCAAGCCATCAGTAATCACCAAACCATGTCTAAGACTCCAGCCACATGTATCCTTTTCCTATCTTGGCTCAATTTCTTCTGGAACTAAATAGAAAGATATATCCCCCTCCAAAATGTCTCCAACATAGTATTTCTCAGTTACTAGTTGCCATCAGGTCAACGCTGTCTCACGGCAGACTTGGAGTGAATTGTGCTCCGTAGGGTTGTCAGTCATTGCTTTTTCAGAAATAGATTGCTAAGCTCTTCTTTTAAGGAATCTCTGGTGGCCTGGTGGTAAGGGATTGTGCCACTATCACAAAGGAAGATTATTAGAATCCACCAGCTGCCCCACCGTAGAAAGATCGGACATCTCCGCCTGTGTGATTCACTGCAGAGGCAGCTATGACTTGGTTCTGACTTCATGATACGTAACGACTATTGTTGTTGTTGTTAGGTGCCGTTGAGTCGAGTATGACTCAGAGTGACCCTATGAACAAAATATCTGAACTCTGTTCTGCCCTGTGCCTTCCTCACACTTCCTGACATGCAAGAACCCATTGTAGCAGTCACTGTGTATATAACTGGGCAGGTGGATATCTCCAACATTTCAGTTAGCTCCTGAGTACATGAGCTGTTTCCACCACCTAGACTCCCTTTCCTGTGTATAACCCTAATTTCCCCAAGCCCTCCAGATTTTTGGAGCTCTGACATGTCCAGATAAGATGACTCACAGTAGACCCACTGTGATATGTTATTGTTGGGCATTATCCAGTGACCTTATGTGCAATAGCTCTGAATCTTGCCTTGTGCCACCCTCACAATCTCTGTCATGCTCAAGCCCTTCGTGGGAGTCACTGTGTCACCACTGTGTCAATCTATTGTGTTAAAGGGTCTTCTTTTCTCTTTCACTAATCCTCTTTCCTAATCTTTAGCCTAATGTCTTTTTCCAAGAATTGCTTCCTCCCCATTTTCCCAAGGATTCTTGGGCATCTCAGCTGTCCTGTGACTGTAGCTGCCACCAGTGACTTTTATCCCATTCTTGCTTCTGCAAATGTCACTGTGCCACCCCAGCCATGGGCTCTGATGCTACCCTGCTTCTGTCTTGGGTCCCCTTCCCACAGCCCTGTGCCCCTTCACAAGGTTCTCACTCTGGTTTCTCCTGAAGGTCAGGGTACCAGACAAGGACTTCAGCGCCACAGAGACCATACAGAAACTTAAGAGTATATGGGCCCAGTTTCACAATCCCACTAGGCAGGTGCCATCCGTACCTCAGGTCCCACCATCCAAGCGCCAACCTTGAACTTCCATGATCCTGTATCTTTCTTGTACAGAACACTTAGCACTCCATCTGCTATCCCAGGACTTGATAGGATGGTAGGCTTGAGAGGATGATAGGAATACACCACGGTGCTCCAGCCAAAGAGTAGCCTTCAAAGCAGGAGCTTTTGACAGCTGAACCTTCCCCAGTTCCCCTTGTCCACCCCATCATGCCCTGCGCCAGGCCCTCTACCCTAGAAAAAAAGAGTCCCTGAGTCAATACTAGCTTCCACTTTGATCCCCTGATTGGATACGATACAAATTTCATCTGAACAAAAAAATTTCTAAACATTAGAAAGGAAACAAGAGTTAAATAAAAAGCCTTAAAAACAAAACTCTCATCCAACGCATCCATTTTACAAATGGAGCACTTAAAATCTACACTCTCATGTCGTACCCTTTTTTCTGAAATCTGATGACTCAGTACCACTTGATTCTGATTCATGGCAACTTGGTAGAATTTTCTTGTCTGTAGCCTAGTGAGCCATGAGTTGTACCATCAAGCCAAAGGCAAGTGGTTCGAAGCCACCAGCTGTTCCATGAGAGAAAGATGGGCCGCCTCCTCCCATGCAGCTCACAGCCCCTAAAAACCCACTCTAGAAGGTCCGCTATGAGTTGGTTCTGACTGGATGGTGAGGAGAGAGAGAGAATAATCTTTATAGACACAGACCTTCAGATCGTCCTTCCATGGAGCCACTGTGTGGGCTTGAAACCCTCACCAACCATTAGATCAGAAATGGAACAAAAACTGCTTGCTCCACCCGGGACTTTGCTAACTCAGTGCCTGGGTCTTTTTTTTTGCTTGCTTTTCGTTCTTTTTAAATTTTATTTTATTAATTTTAATGAATGTTTACAGAGATTTTGGATTTCCATTCATTCATTGTTGCATTTTTCTCCCTGCCCAGCCCTCCCCCACAGTTCGCTCTTCTCTTTGAGAAGTAAAAGAAAAATTCTTTCATTGGTATACAATCCCTTTCCCCCCCCCCCAGTACACTCCACTATGCAACCTTCATTCTGGACTCTTGTAATAACCATAATACCCAATCATATATCGCTTTTAAACTGTACTCTCCCTCGTCTGTTTCAGTGCAGCATACATAATTTATCCAATTTTTCTCAGTCTTACCCCAAGCCTGATGTCAGTCCCGTTCTACAACAGTGGCACTATGCAGTATTTGTCTTTTAGTGCCTGTATCTTTCGGATACTGAATGTAAGAACATAAGCTACTCTTTATTAGACTCTGGTTCGCAACACAGCACCCTTGACACTGGGAGCTGAATTGTTTTCTATAGTGGACGCATCCTATGCATTGTACGATGTTGAGTGAAATCCCTACCCTATACCCACTAGATGTCAGCAGCAATGCCCACCTCAAGCTGTGGCGGCCACAAACATCTCCAGGCACTCCCAGATGGCCCTGGGTGGGGAGTCACCCCTGACAGAGAGCAGCTTTTCTCTTGGGTGTTGGTGCTGTGCTACAGGCGTTGGGCCGCAGAGCCAGAGTGCATGCACCATGCTGTCCTCTGAGGCATGGGAATACCTGTCAACTGGCTTTAGAACTAGCCTAAAATTGACTTGTTCATTATCAAATATCAATAACTAATTGAAAACTCTCTTCTAGATCCCTTCTCTGGGTATGTGCTTCTGTGAAGAAAATAAAAAGGAAAGAAAATGGGAGTTGGTGGATCCACCAGTGAAGACCCTGACTCATGGATCCAACTCAGCGTTTAACTGGAGAAACTGGATCCTGGGCAGCTAAAAACCAACCTTTTGTTTTCAGTAATTTCACTGTGAAGGGGTGAAAAATTTCTGTGAGAGGCTGTGAAATACTTTTATTTTAAAGGTATCTTAGTCTCACCTAATGCTAAATTGAATAAGCACAAAATGCACTTTTATACTTCTGAGTGTCTGTCATCTGCTTTCATCTCTGTAATGCCAGACGAGGGTCCTGTGCCCACAAGTGTGATTGCCGGGCTCTGAGCACATGCCTGGGCCCTGGCACCAGCTTGCTGACCTGGGCCTAAGGATGTGAAAGTCAGAGTTGTGGCTCAAAGTGGAATTGAAAAACCATAACTCTAATTTCTGAAAATTAAAGACCCATCACACACACACACACACAAAACGGTTACATCCACCTTACTTTGTGTTCTTTTTAGCCAAAGTTTCCACTGGGTTTTCCTTTTTCCATCTCTATCACTCTCTAGCTCTGCCCACACAGCCATAGATATAGGTACAGTGCTGAAAAACACAACACAGGGCAACCCTCTACCCACTCAAAGTGGGGAGCCTATGCCCTGGTGCCAACACCTCCTGCAGAGTTTCCTCTCGTTACTATGATAAATTTCCTGTCTTAAAACAACACACAGTTGTTCTCTACAGCTCTTGAAGTCAGAAGTCCAAATATGATCTGACAGGGCTTTATTCCTTCAGGAGGTTCTGAGGGAAAATTATTTTGTTGCCTTTTCCAGTTTATAGAGGTCACCTGCCCTTCTTGGCTCTTGGATCCTTCCCTCACCTTCAAAGCCAGGAACAGAGCATCTGCCAATCTCTCTGTGTATCCCTCAACTTCTATCATCACCTTGCCTTCTACTTCTCATCCTCCTCTCTCTTAGCAATGACTTTTGTAATTACATTGACTCACTTGGGATAAAGTCCCATTTCCAGATCTTCAATCACCTGTACTCTGAGGGCCTAGTGGCAAATAGCTGCACTGCAGTCTTGAAGGCACACAGTTCAAGGCCACCAGCTACTCTGTGGGAGAAGGACAGACAATCTCCTCCTGTGTAATTAACTGCCCCTGAAAACCCACTGGAGGGTCAGCTATGGGTCAGTTCTGACTCTACAGTACACAGCAACAACAATTGCCTGTGAAAAGTCCCTTTTGCCATATTGAAGTTCCAGGGATTAGAGTAAGAACACCACGGAGCCCATTATTCGGGAGATAACACCCTCTGGCCTGTGCACTCAGGAATGTCAACACAGGGCCCATGTGTCAGGGCCTGAGATTCCTCTTGGTGCAGGGCTGTGACTTCTCATCTCCTCCCTTCTGATCTAGTCAGGAGTGGGCTGAAGAAGTTTGCAAATTGTAATATGTGCTTTGCTTGGAGAAAAGAGAAGACAAACCAGAAGTAAGATCACCAGCATGGGGGGTCCCCCTGTGATGGTGTAAATTAGTTGAAGAGGCTGACTTTTAAGGGGTTGGTCCAAGTGATTAAGGATGTGTCCCCAGTGACATCCACTTGTCTCCCTCTAACTCCATTACACCTGTCCTTAATAGTCACAATGTTTTAGTTTGTAGTCTAAATTCATATTGTGCATGGTTTCTTGACCTTGTTTCTCTTCCATCCTTATTCTGATTCTGACATTATTTCAATGTTGCAATTTGCAGTCATGGCCAATAGGTAATAAGTTGCCATAATGGAGTCAATTCTGACTCATGGTGACCCCATGAGGGTCAGAGAGGAGCTGTGACTCATCAGGTTTCAAATGACTGGTGTTTCGAAGGATGATAGCCAGGCCTTTCCTCCAAGGCGTCTCTGAAGGGACTTGTGCACCATCCTTTTGGTTACCAATCTAGCACATGTACCATTTGCACTACCTAGAGAAAAAAAATTATATATAACTATCGACATTTATCAAAGTTCATAGAGTTTCTGGAGGCAAGTTGTTTAGGAAGTGAATGCCACTCTAAAGCACATGTTTTATTACTCATATTTTTTCCAGAGAGAAAGATAACGTGTTTCTTTCTACTTTATATATGCCAATGTAATTTTTCTGTGTCCAAATAAAGAGAAGCTTGAAGTTGGCACAGCAGATAGAAACCAGAGAGTCCAGTTCTCCTACCCCAACACTAGTTGATTTGTACATGTGTCTACATGGCGATTTTGATAATCGAATACTGTTATAAAAGATTACATGTGGACGGCCGTAACAGACAGAAATTACTTTTCTTAGAGTTGAGGAAGGCTAGAAGTTTAAATTCAGGACGCCAGCTCCAGGGGTCCGCCCTCCTTTCTTCAGCCTCCTTCAGTCAGGTGTTCCTCAGAGAACACCAGTTCCTTTACCTTCCCTGCTGTCAAGGAACTTCCAGGTGCAGGGACCCAAGAACACAAGGATCCACCCCGTTCCGGGCCATTCTTACTTGCTGGTATTGACTCTGGACTCACTTTTCTCACCTTTCCTCTCCAGTGAGATAAAAAATATTTCAGGTGACGCCCTAGGGAAACTCCCCTTCCACAGATTAGGACTGTATGGAATTAAGGTGTGTTGCATTCCACCCCTAATCCTTTTACAACCACTTGGTCTATGGGATCATGGCGGGTGATCACACCTTCACTTGATATCTTTGTTATGTTCTGTAGAGTCACCTTAGACTCATAGGGGCCCTGTTCAAGAGAGTGCTGAACGTGCCCTATCGTGGGCCAATTTCACTGTCTCCAACACAGCTGCCCCCAGCGCTGGGTCAAGTCCATCTCATCCAGGGTCTTCCTCTCTTGTGTGTCTTGGGAGGACATAGTTCAATCCATGATAATTACTGGTAGTCTTTAATTAGAAAAATTATTTCTTTCTCCTCCTTTCACCTATTTTATCATCCAGGAAACAGTCTTGCACAGGAATTAAAATATTATCTGTCCTGTCACAATTTTAAAGGGAAAGGCCATGGGTGCATTAGACCTTACAGTTAATTCACTGCATTAACAAGTGGCAATTCAGGTTATAAAGCAAAATGACGACGAGCAACTATATGAAAACACAATACGATTTGTAAACCTTTATTCAAGTGAAAAAGAAAATCCAATGACAAAAATAAATCAATAAAAACAAAGCTGATCAGTTACCCAGAGTTTTTGGTTTATGGAATCTTGCTTCCTAACTTAATATTTATGTGAAAAATATATCTGTTATATGCAATGAGTGCTAAAAACACCCCAACAACACAAAAACCAACCAGTAAACTCCCTGCCGTGAATGGATTCAACTCACAGAAGCCCTCCATCAGGTTCCCAAAACCCTAACTCATTGTTTACACGGTAGAGACGGACCAGTTTCCTCCAGAGGAGGGCTGGCGAATTCAACTGCCATCTTTTAGGTTATCAGCCCAACACATAATGCCCCTACCCAACCAG